CCGAACGGGTGGTGCGTTTAAAAAGGTTATGGGCCGCGGCGGCGTGTGGTGTGTGCGATCCGAGGCGGCGATACGCGGCCCGCGCGCGGGTGCGTCAACTCAACGCAGCGCCGGGCCGGGGCCGCCGCGGGGGCCGCGCGTCTTCAGAGTGCGGCCGAGGTCTGCTGTTGAGCTGAGCTCGTGCTCGCTCCACCCCGCTCGCGTTGGCTGCGTTGGCATTGGACCTCCTCCTGCTCTTCCTCCGCCCGACCGGTGGCGGCCGCTCAACGAGCCATCTCTCTGAGCCGTCGCAATCTCTGCTCCTCTGCGATGATTTCTGTTAAATCGATGTGATGCGGCGGCCACTACTAATCCACGGCCCACGGCAGTCGCGCGGTCTGCCCCACAATCGTCTGCGCATCCGGCGCGATGGAAACGGCCGGCCTGGCCGTGGCGGGTGTGGTGGTGCAGTGCCGCGGCAAAGCCAGCCGCTCCAGCCGCTCCAGCCGCTCCAGCCGCTTGCCTCCCTGTCTCCCTCCCTCTCCCTCTCCCTCCCTCTCCCTCCCTCTCCCACCTTGCCGAGTTGTCACCACACTCCGCGGGCTGGTCCGCGGGGGGCCGAGCGTCGCCGCCACCCGGCCTGACGGACGAGGGACGCCCCGCTCGTACATCACTTTGCGACGACGCGGACTCGCTAACCGGACAAAAACACGAGCATCCATCTCTCTTGATCTTTACAGCCCTAGACCCATACTTCTTCCTCCATCCTCTGGTGGTTCTCTCTCTGACTGTTTATCTTCCTTCCCATTTCCATCTCTTATTTGCTCAGCGGGCTTATCTACACTCCTCCTCTTTCTCCCTCTCTCCCACGAGCCCCTCCTTTCATTACCGTGCCCATTATGATAAGCCGCCTGTACCGCACGACACGCCCAGCAGAGGCGATCCTCGGGGGGGAAAGCAATCTTCTCTTTGCCGCATCCCTGAGCACGGCAGGTGAGGTGAGGAGAGGTGAGCAGGTGGCGTGCGCCGTGAGGAAGTGCAGTAGCAGGCAGTTCCTCGTCCTCGTCCTCGTCGCCAGGCGCGCGTGGCGGAGTGGGGCGGCGGCGGGGCGGCGCGCGGTTGACCTCCCAATCCTGGGCAGGCGCGGGCCGAGCGCCGCGCGGGGTAGGCACACCCGCCCGACGACCGCGTCTGGCGGGGCCGCATACCTCGCAGGCTGACTGTCTCTCTCACACACACTCGCTGTCTCTCTGTATCTCTCTCCCTCTCTCGTTCCTACTCTCTTCCTCTACCTGCCACACCGTCTTTCTCCCTCGCCTTTTCCTCATTCTCTGTTGTTTGATCGGCTGTCTTTGCGGCGCCCCGCTGCTGCCGGTGCCCGTTCTGGAGCACGAGGTGGAGCTGGGCCCGCCCGACGCTCCGCCAGACGCTCCGCTCCGCGCCATGTACCCCGCAAAGGTCATACGGCGCTCGAGGCACTTCGCCGCGGGACGCGGGCCGCCAGGCGTGCACAGGTGAACGTTCCGGGCGCACGGACTGTGCGGCGCGCACGTCACAATAAGGCACACCGTGCACGTCGCGCACGACCCGCACTGAGCACGCTGGAGGAGGACCCTACTGGACGCTCGATGGGTCAGTGGCAGGAGCAGACCGCCGCACACAACACATCTCAGTCCGAAATAACAAGGTAGACGCACGTTAAAACCGTGTGAAGCTGAGCTAAATGTGCGTCTACCTTGGCCTGCGGCGCGCTAAAATTAAAATGTTTTCGCGATTTTGGTTGGCATGCCTGTCCACCTCACATCCCACGTCTCAAGCCAGGCGCCTCACTTCACGCCGTGTTCCGGGCGGTCTCCCCTTGCGCTTCCTGACAGAGCTGAGCATTTAAAGTTTAAGTTTAATTTCAAGTTCAAGTTAAGCTCAGCAAAAACAATCAGCACAACACGTCTCGATAGCGTTTCACGGTTGGCAAAAGGCGGGAATTGTTGTTGTCAACGGGGCCGAGGGCCGAGGCTTGGGATGGAACGTGACGGGAAACCTGCCGGCGGCTGGGCCGAGGCCGGGGATAGAACGGGACGGGTAACCCGCGGCCGAGGGCGAGGCCGGGTATGGGACGGGTAACCCGAGGCCGAGGGCTGAGGCCGGGGATGGAACGTGACGGGTAACCCGGGGCCGAGGGCTGAGGCCGGGGATGGAACGTGACGGGTAACCCGGGGCCGAGGGCCGAGGCCGGGGATGGAACTGGACGGGTAACCTGGGGGCGGCCGCTCGCTGCCCTAATGAGCACGTGACCTGCACAGGTGGGCGCCATCCATCGCGGGCCGGGCCGTGCAGCTGGACCTGGACGCGGTATGCAGATTTGCTCCAATCAGGTGGCGCAGAGCGGATCGCGCGAGCCGGCCCGGCCCGCCGCCGCACGAATACCAAATCGCCTTCCGTGTCTCGGCGGCGAGCGTGAGTTTTGAAATACGCGCGGCGGCGGCGGCGGCGGCGGAGGCGCTTCGGCTTGGCTCTGCTCTTCGGCGATCCGCACGACGCGGAGGAGTCCCGCGACGACGACGGGGGGCGCGCATTGCACCTCGTGCCTTATGCGTTATGCGGGCCGGGGAGGGAGTGAGTCAGTGAGCGCGCACCAAGTTGTAACAGAGGAAAAAACAGTCTTTATTTTCAACAAACAGGAACAGTCCCCGAAGAAAGAGAGGGGGGCATACAAAATAATACACAATAACTTAAGGGTGGGAGCTCGGCGTCCACTTGGAGCTGTGGTCGCCGGAGCTGTAGTACTCGCTGCTGCTGCTGCCGCCTCCGAGGCTGCCGCTGAGGGCACCGCTGCTCTGCAGCTCCGCCCCCGACCAGCCGTGGCCGACTGACGGGGCTGCGATCACCTTCGGGTGCGAGGCCTCGCCCTCGTACTGCACGTTGGCATTGTAGCCGTTCTTCCAGTCCGCGGTGTAGGTGACCACCTGCAGGCAATGGGCATAGAAAAGTTGTGAGTCGTCGACGAACGCCATACCAGCCCGGCCTCCAGCAGGAGGGTGGCTTCTCCGAGGAGTTCCACACCGCAGCCCGCCCGCGCCCGCGCCCGCCCCGCGTCCTGCGAGCGCGATGGGTTGCCTCCCTCCGAGGCGGCCGCTCTGACTCACCTGCGTCCTGCCATCGGGCAGCTGCACGCGGTAGTGACCAGTGACGGTGTGGCCGTCGCTGGCCTCCTGCTGGTTGAAGTCCAGGCCCTGGTGGGGGTCCTTCACGCCGTATCCGAACTTGTAGGGCTTGGGCTGTGGGTGGGGTAAAAAAAAAACAGACCATATGACATCAATTAATTATTTTGAGGCAGTCCCTTGTGGTTCTAACCGAGGGCATGCCGTTTTTCAAAAGTTTCCATTTTGAGAAAAGATTTTTCAAATCAAATGGCACTTCTCCATTTTGTGTTCGCAGTGCACATTATCGCATTCCTTTCCTTCCCCCTTCTCAAATATATAGAGATCTCTGCTCGCGAAGTCCCGATGCGCTTCTCGAGCACTGACAGCACTGGTTGTGCCGCCGCCCGCCCCGCCCCGCTCCGCCCCGTTACGGGCGAGCTCCGCAGCGCGTGACGAGTGCGTACATCGTACGTAGAGTCGCACTGTAACGCGCAAGTAGTTGCGTAAGTTGGGGCGGGAGAAGATGATAGCGTGGCGATTAGAGAGAACGAGAAAATAAAAAAAAAATTGCCAATGCGCGTTCTCCCCGGAAGCGAAACGAGGAGCGCACTGGTGCTTCTTTTCCGCGCGCAAAACGCACACACACACACACACACACACATACGGCGAGTGCAAGGACCCGCCTGCTCCGCCCGGGTGATTACCGTTCATACATAGCGCAGGCACGCCGAACCATTGTGCAACGGGTGCAATAATTAGAGTTTACACAGTAAGTCGGCGATGCTTTTGTGCACTTCAAACCGACCGCGCCCGAGGAGAGAGAGGGAGAGAGAGAGAGAGAGAGAGAGAATCGCAGTTAGTTAGTTAGTTGGTGGGACGCGGAAGAGAAAACAACAAAAATAATAAAAATGGGACCACATTCACACGATAAAGCAGTCTGGCGGCGCGCGGCGCGGTTCATCGTCCCCCCGAGCAGCGGGACGTGGACACCATGCGTGCTCGTTATTAGGGAGGCAGATTGCGGCGCGTCGCGGAGGCGCCTCCTCGCGGTCCATCTCGCGAGGAGAAAGCCCGGCACAGGAGGGGATTAGCGACAAAGAGGGGCTCGCGACGGACGGCGGGAATGGAGACATCAAGCTGTGCGAACGGGAAGCGAGTGGGCTCTTTATTATTGTCCCGTGGGGGTGTTTGTGGCGCGCGCCCAGCCGGCGGCCCGCGCGCTCTTCTTATTGTGCACTTTTCTCTACAATTAAATCAACCGTGCGCACGAAAATTAACAACTAGATTCTTACGTAAATAAGAAAGAAGCAAACGGGCGCTCGCCGTTGCTACTAGAGGACATCCAGAAAGTATTCTCATTAGTCTTCACGAAACTACCAGGTTCGGCCCGTGTGCAGGCTCTCATCGCGCCTGGTTGGTAGGCAACTTCTCGCATGCAGTGCATCCGTGTGTTGCGGGGTGGCCTACCCCGTGTTTCGCAGGCGCTGAGCTGTCCGTCCCCCCGTAATTGACCGAATAAATCTGAGAAAAAGCAGACGCACTTTCTGGACGATCCCTCATACACGCGCGACGGTGAACTCTCATCACCCTCGTCCACGGAGTGACAATTTCGGCGTGACCAACCAGTTGCTATACCGCAATGACCAATCGAAATAATATTTGCCTGAGGGGTCCCTACGAAAGCGGAAGCGTCCGATCAAGCAAAGAGCATCTGGTTCGGAATAAATGCATAGGTGGTGCGATTTTCTATTTTCATTCACTCGAGGATTAGAACAGAGTGGGGAGAGGGAGAGAGAGAAGGGGGGGCGGCAATGGCACACGCTCCGCATGAGCTGGACGCGGCTGGACGCCTGGACGCGCCAGGCGCAGCGGACGGTAAAAGTCCGAGTAATTTGGTCCGCTCCGCGCTGCTCCGCGCACGGCCTGGCGCGGTCTGGCCGCCGGCGCAGCGTGCGCAGGTGATCTCCCGCCGCCGTGTGCGCCCCGGGGCACTATGGCCTGCACATGGCGATAACTTCCGGTCGCTTCCGGTGCTACCTGCTATTCGGCTCCACAAAAGCTTTGCGGCTCGGAGGTGGTGGTGACAAATCATCCCGGCAACGTTTTCTGCCAACAACTGCCAACCCCTATGGGGAACAAAGGAACAGGCTGCTCCAGAAAATTGCACCGAACCCTACCCGAACCCGCCCCCTTACCAATGTAGCCTGCCTCTAAGGCCGGCCGTTTGCGACTTGTAGGGTCATGGACGAGGTGCCTGCCTATGCCTTACGTTAGCAAATACTCTTCGTCACTGGCAACCCTTTGGTCTGTTTGACTTGCTTCCCTGTCATAAGACATATGCTTCGCCAGTCGTCTAAGTCCACCACTTGGCTCTGACCGCAAAATGACTGATCCGTGCCGAGGACCAGCAGGGGCGTGGACGGGCGCGGGCAGTGAGCACAGTGAGGCACGGGGGGCCGCGGTCTGGGCAGCAATGACGTAGGGGGACCGCGAAGTGGAGTAGTTGGCCGGGAGAGTGAACTTAGTTATGGGTCGAGAGTCTGAGAGAGAAGACGGTTCCCGGGGCGTTTTGGTGCCTATCACTAAATCACTATAAAAACACATAGATGGGACGTGGACGGGACGAAGCCTCGTGCTAAGCTTAATCCTTTCGCAACTTTAGGTCAATTTTTTCTGTCTGGGATGTTATTTTATTGCGTCAAAAACCTGAAGCATCCCTGTAGGTGTTACGTCCTACCCTTTTTTGTTTCCAGCGTGGTGAATACGAGCGGGCAAAATCTGCCAACGGTGAAGCTAATCGGGATAGAATTAACTCGCGAAATATTTCAAACACGAAATTGGTCAAAATTTTGTGTAAAATCGTCATGAAATACCCTCGAACTAACCGACAATAAACCTGAAATACCGAGAAATTGATTTCTGAGTAATCCCGCCCTGCAAGCTACTCAAAACAGTGGGCTTACCTCCTCGTAGTGCTCCTCGTGGTGCTGCTCGTGGTGCTCCCCCTCGAGGGGCAGGCTGTGGTGGCCGAGGTGCGCCGCGCCCTCCAAGGACCTCTTGTTCACCGCGCTGGCCACGCCGGCGGCGACGGAGGCCGCCAGCCCCAGGACGAGCACGCTCAGGGAAGTCCACATCTGGAATCAGTGTGTGTCCGTTATGTGGTGTCGTGTGTCGGGGCGGGGCTGTTCCCGACCGCGGGGCCCACCCACCGGCCACCCTTACCTTGCTCGGCTGGTATCCAACTACTCGTCCTTGGGAGTGCTCCTTGGCAGTGGTGATGATTCCCGTCCGCCCCAGGCTTTTGTACGTGTGGGCGCGGCGGCAGCCCTGGGGTAGGGTGGGGCTCTGCCACCACGCCCTGGCTTGCCGCACCCCGCCCCGCCC